TTTCCACCAATACACAATTACAGTTTTAAACTAAGAAAAACAAGAAACTGAAAAGTATACAGCACAGTTATGCACAGCACTGAACGCTTAACTGAAACCGCTCGTCTCCTTGCTTTCCCAAATAAAACTGAACGGTGTTCTGGAAAAGTGAACTGTCGAAGTCATTTAGCCATACTTTTATTGCCTTTTTATCCGACTTCGAAAAGGAGGAGGATACTCAATTCGATGTGTATGTATTTTTTTTTTTTTTTTATGTATATTCACCGATTACGCCGAGACGGATGGACCAATCGGAACGAAACCTTTTGCATCTGGTAGAGTATGTCTCCCGATTGGTCCCGTTAAAAAAACATTTTGCATTTTTTCATTGTTAACGATTTTTTTGCAAAAAACGTAATGCTTGACTTATATTTTTCACCGATTACCGCGAGACGGATGGACCAATCGAATAAAAAATGTTGCATCTTGTAGAGTATATTTCCCGATTGGTCTCGCAAAAAATGTTTGTATTTTTTCATTCCTAACGACTTATGTCGCAAAAAACGTAATACTTCATTTATGTCTTCTGGCGTTTATGCTGCAGGGAATGTATCGATTGTGATGAAAACTTTCACATTTAGTAGGAGGTATATCCGCGATGACCTCACTTGCAAAAATTTATTGAATTTGTTAATAACTACTATTATAGCAAAAAATCTACGCCTTCATGTTACTCTGCAAGGAATGTATCGTTCGCGATGAAACCTTTCATATTTGGTAGGAATTACAGAGTGTCAGGCGACTACCTCGACAACCGTAGAGGGATGATTGCTAAGGGGATTCTAAACAACTTTTTCCTTTGCCAAATTGTTGGTTAAGGCTTGGTTTGCGAGTTAATAACAAATAACACCGACCAATCCGAGCGCGGATAGAGCGCAGTCCGAGGGACTGCAGTGTCGGATACGAAAACCGGGCCTGACGTTGGTCGCGAACGAACGGCTTGGCACCCCGTTGGCATAGCACAATAAAAAAACTGAACTGGTAGAACATTTTTAGCCGCTGTTTAGAATGAATATGGAACCTAATCTCTTATTGCCTGTCATAATGTAAAAAAGGAAATTCTAAGGATTTTAAACAACAAATAAAAATGTTTGAAGTGGTATAATTAATAAACGTTTGAATTAAAGGCTACACTAATGATGCAAAATTTGAAAACAATTTAAACGAAACTTACCCATTCGTTTCTAAATTAACTTGCTACGCTCAAAGCAAATAATTCCCACTAGATCACTGTGTCGATTCTGGACATTCGATGAGCAAACACCTCGCCTATTATTCACACCTAAGTGCAATAAATGAGGGGAGTTCACTGGCTCGATCATGAAAATTGCTGTTCTACCGAACGTGTTTCCTCGATTCCCAGTGACAATTATCTGCTTTCAGCGTAGTAGGTTAATTTACGAACGAATGCGAAAGTTTCATTTAAATTGTTTTTAAATGATTAATTATTCCATTTCAATCATTTTCATTTGTTGTTTAGAATGCTTAGAATTTCATTTTTTACATTATGATAGGCGACAAGAGATTAGGTTCCGTATTCATTTTAAGCAACGACTAAAAATGTTCTACCCGTCCAATTTTTTATTGTGCTATGCCAACGGGGTGCCGAGCCGTTCGTTTGCGACCTACGTCAGGCCCGGTTTTCATAGCCGACATTGCAGTCCCTGAGCCCGCGCGCTATACGCGCTCGGATTGGTCGGTGTTTTTTGTTAATAACTAGAAAAACAAGCCTTAACCAACATTTTGGAAAAGGAAAAAATTGTTTAGAATCACCTTAGCAATCATCCCTCTTCGGCTGTAAACGTAGTGGCGTGACACTCTGTATATCCGCGATGACCCCACTTGCAAAAACTTATGGAATTTATTGTTTATTAACCATTTAAATTTGGTCAATATTTTTTAGGTTTATGGTTATTAGCTAAGTAACAGAAACCCAAAATCACCTTACACTATCCTAAAAATACTACAGGTTCCACTAAAAAGTGTGAAATAAAATAATTTTTAACAAAAAACAAATCCGACTTCGAAATGCACTAAAAAGTGTCAAATAATTTCTATTTCATTTATACCAATATTCCATAGCTATTAATAATATCTACTTAATCGTTAAATAGGATACCAAATACATTTCAAAGTTTTCGGAGGCGGCGCAAAATTAAAAATACTCGAACAAACGATGCTGCCAATAACGATTTGATTGCGATATGGCAAACTTGGTAATTAATAAGTCGTAAGAGAAAAATTATAGGTCCGGCTGAAAACATTTGTAATTGTAACGATTGTATGAAAAAGTAGCAGCCCTCCTGATGTACATGCACTATACTGCAGTTCACAAGAGACCATACTTAACTCGCGCCGCTCACTAGGTCTAGAGAGATTTTTAATAACGTGTGTTATTCCCCTCTACAGCTTGCTTCTTATTATACTTTGCGACCATATAAATGGCGGGCAGAAATATATGACATACGATAATTGATAACCGGTGATGATATTGTAAAGTTTCACGATACAATTAAATTCCTATTATTTGTCGCAAGAAAAAAATGATGTGAACGCAAAGTAAGAAGCAAGCTGTAAAGGGGAATCACACGCACTATTAAAAATCTCCCTAGACCACAGTAGGTCACTAGCTGCGCGAGTTAAGTGCGGTCACTCGTGAACTGCAGTATAGTTCATTCGCAATGGGTTTGTTGATTCCCGTTGAATATTATTTACTTGAAATTATCAAATGGGTGATTTATCATAGGTTGCCGACGTCCGAGTTAGGATCTTCTTAGTAGAGGAAAAGTTTTTAATTTTGCGCCGCCTCCGAAAACTTTGAAATGTATTTGGTATCCTATTTAACGATTAAGTAGATATTATTAATAGCTATGGGATATTGGTATAAATGAAATAGAAATTATTTCACACCTTTTAGTACATTTCGAAGTCGGATTTTTTTTTTTGTTAATAATCAGAAAAATTTCACCAATGCGCTAGTAAAAGTTTCAGTAAAAGAAAGTCAGAAGTAAAAAAGTTTTACAATTGAATTAGTATTAGTCACACCGATACAGTACTCTCTCCTCCACAGTCTGTCCCTTTCTACGTTCACGCTTGGCTGGTCGTCGCGTGTAATCCGAGATTCGACACCTCGGCTGGATATATGCAACGTCTGAGTCCCAATCTCTGTTTCATATATTCAGCTCTTACTATATAGACCCGAGGTTCCTCCATTTATTAGTTCTAATAGTACCATAGTACTTTTTTATGCTGAATGTTTCAAGTAGTTGACATAGGTAAAAAAAAATGCAATTCCATTTAAATAAAAAGTGGATTTGCATTTTTTGAGTGCATCGTTGCATCCACGAAGAAAATGAAATCACAGAAAAATAGATATCATCATACCATTGAACTTTTACATAAACAGCTTTCTCTTATCTCTTGCCAAATTCCAGATATAACCCGTCCCAATTGCATGACGCATCCTGTATACTTTTATTAATTAAAAAACATTTATTTAAAGAAGTTAATAACTTTTTCTAAAAATAATTCTGAGATTGCACGTTCCTTCGGTCCTTTAGAGTAGGCATGTATTTTTCAGCAGCAAGGGGTGCTACGGTGCGCTATGTAAAATCCATGCGTTTGGTCAGTCAGAATTTATCGGAGCTGGACAATTCTATCATTTGGGTTGAACGAAGGATAGCATGATCACCATACATCTCACTCTAAACATGTGCAAATGTTTCGCTTTTGTTCTTCAGGCGTATCGTCGCGATGCCTCTAGCGAGATGAGCGTTTGAATGTGTCTGTAAAAATACTTGAGGCGCTGTTGCCTTCCTAGATCGTGTTGCGCGCACGCTAGCTGAGAATTAAACCTTCCAAGTTCGTAACAGACCACGCAAGTGGCTCCACCAGGCCCAACGAAAAAACTGCTGTAATACCGACGTCCCGAATCGGAGAGGTCACGTGCCGTGTCTACCTGTTCACCATTTATACCATCACGTGCCTGATACCAAACACGATACAATTTGAATGGGACAATGTTTGTTATGGGGCGCTGTGAAAAATCCAGGCGGGCGGCAATCAAAACTTAGCGAAAAGAGACAATCTCAACATTCAGAATGAGGAGGACAGCATGACTGTAGTGCGTCTCACTCAGCGTTCGTGCGTTGTTCCCTTTTTCGCTTGCCTTCGCAGCACAGTTCGAGTGATGTAATCAAGCTAACGCTTGATTCTGGCTACCATTCCAAATCGGCAGCCTTTCTACTTAGACGCCACCTTATAATTACTAGCTGAACTAAATTTGTCACGTGACTTGCTCTGTATTATTCAGATAATGGCGGAACTCGTCTGTGGGAATGCAATCGCGATTTTTCGTTTTTCGTCCTTATATGATAATATTTGAGGTTGGGTGAGGGCTCATTCGAAAGAGGAAGGTTCAGTGCTGCGCGCTCTGGACATCGTTTGAGTCACAAAACTCTTTTAATGACCTAAAAATACCTTGGATTCTGCGGATGTATTTTCTCGATTTTTTCTCTACTTTGGACACTCATATTATTAGATATTAACAAAATCTCGTTGAATCATGACCAGAGCGCGCTGCATTGAACCTTCCTCTTTCGAATGAGCCTTCACCCAGTCTCAAATATTCTCATATAAGGACGAAAAACGAAAAATCCCGGACCCCTTTTTAGGTCCTTTTTGCCGGTAAGGTCACCTCGCTGCATTACCCGTGTCAACCCCCTTAGCAGTATTACAAATGAAATTATATAACGTTTTACCACATTTAAAAAATGTACTTCTCCTGAAACTTTTTGAACAGGATAGTATAGTGCAGAGTAATTGTATTTAAAACAAATGTATTGTTACAAACTTGATTTTTACAGAATAAATTAAGAAATTAGTGATGATATTAAATCTTTCTGTGACTTATTTTTTGATAGAATTTAATGTATTCAGAAAACAAATTTGGTATTTTCTAGACCCATAGCAGGACATGCCAATTTGTGTCCTAAAAGTATTACGACGAAACCACAAGAATTGGAAACTCTTCTAAGTACTGTAAAACACGAGATATTACACGCTTTGGGATTTTCTGCCAGTTTATACGCTTTTTATCGAGATGAAAATGGCGAACCTAGAACACCAAGAAGAAGTGACACAGGAAAACCGTTGTTGAACGAAAAGTAAGTACATGTTTTATTGTGATTTCTGACCTTTAGTTAATTACAAACATGTTTTCAAAAAATAAGCCGGATTATTGCTTTACTATGCATCATATCAACATTTGTTGAAGCCAAAGCAAAAGTATTTCATCCAGTATAGTGGACTCGTTAAATTGCCACATGACAAATTTGGCTTTCACATAAATAATTTTCAAGCATGCTAGTGCCACTCTTCCGCTATCATAGCCTACGAAAATGATAGGATTTTATCTCCCTTTTCCTCTCCAATTAAAACTTTGAAAGCGTGAATAATTTTCCACCCTTACCGTCTCGTCTGCGGCAGTATAGCGAGAGTCTACTGTAGTACCACAATCTATTACGATACGTTTTGCATATTACATATTTTACCAGTTAATAATATGAATGAAATTACAAAAGTTACAAATTAAATTACTGATATTATTAGTATATTTTACAAGTGTTATATTGCACAGTGAGTATGAATTTTGCAGCTTATGAACATTTTTTTGTAAAATTTTTACAAATCTTGAAAGACTACTAATTTGCTTTACAAGCTTTTCCCCCTCTTCTATCGGTAGTCGCTCTAACCGACTGTGTGAGTTGCATATTTTCATAATTTAGTGTATCATTTGGTATACTACAAGTAATTTCATAATCTATTTATTGATTTGCTGTTAAAGTTAGGATTATTAATTACTACTAGTAAAGTTTTAGTGATTTTGTTAATTTTAGGTTATTTCAATCATGATTAATTATTTTCTTTTTTCATTTTCAAATAGTGAGAATAAACTAGAAGAATACAGCTAGACCGCATCGTAAACAATTTTGTAAAAGAATAAATTTCGAATTTTACATCGAAACTGAGTTTGAACAAAGATTAAGAACGTCACTTAGCAATGTAAAGGCACTTTTAGGTATTAGAATGCTATTTCTCATTCAACATTTAAGAGTGGTGCATTAACGCCAAAGCAGTAACATTGTATTATTTTGCACTGGTTTGATACTGGGTATCAATCACTCATCATTGGACTACCGCAACAAAAGGAGGAAGTTACTCAATTCGATCAGTATATATTTTTTTTTCTATGTGTGTTCACCGATTACCCCGAGGTAGATGGACCAATCGGAACGAAACCTTTTGCATCTTGTAGGGTATGTCTTCCGATTGGTCCCGTTAAAAAAAAATTTTTCATTTTTTCATTGTTATTGCAAATGTTACGTGCAGAGTAGGCGTAGTGGTAGGTGACTACTCTGCGGTAGTTTATGATCCGACGCAACGCTTAAACACCTTCTTTTGTGAAGGAAAAAATAGTATGGGATTCGGATTCAGTCTAGATTTATACAAGCCTCTCGTTCGTTGGGTACAGGGTTGGGAATACACAACAAATAATTAGCAAGATTGAATAATTAACTATTATATATATTATCCCAAAAGAAAATGATCTATTACAAACTCGAATTGTTAGACGTTCAAACGGAAAAGATGTTACAATTTTTAAACAACCGAAGACAGAGTATACAGATTTTTGGTTGAGACTCACCGGATAAACAGAAACGGTTAACTGGATTGATAGAGCGCTGCCTTCTCTCTCTCTCTTCCTCTCGACGCACGGATGATCGAAACTATGGTTTTACACTAAGTCTTAATGTCTTTATGTTAATGATTCTATCGGTAAATGAGTTGAAACTGAAGTCTTTCTTTATCGAGGAAACTAAGTCTTTTCGCGTGACACTTGGTTTTCACGAAACTCTGCTTGTTACGCGGCATAGTATAGCGCTAGCGGATCTATAATAGCAGTCTTATACTTTTAACAATCTTACGGGTTTAACTATCGAGAGCAATAAACTCACCGTAAGACATCGTCCGTTTTGCCTTTCATGTACCTGGTAAAAATGGTAACAACGGTAAATTCATGAACCGATGAATTTACTACATCAGTTTAGAAGCACGGTCAGTTATGTTCAATAACACATTGTCTAATTGCTAGAAACCTTTCTAAGCTGGTCGGAGTAGTATTTTGTCACGTACCGAATCAATCACCATGAAGCATCAAAAGGTCCAACAGTAAACAGACCTTCCACAGTCCAAGGCCAGTAAAGTCAGAACGTTTATTTGGCATTCGCATTGTCCACAAATGCTCACGACGAGCAGTTTACAATCTTTTACGAGGTTTTGCCATTCACTTTACTTAAATTCTAACTCCTCTTCCGTGTCTTAAACGGACCCCCTGCTGTGCATGTGTCTTGTGAGTTCTACCAACCCCGACAGGGTTCGAACCGTCTTGCGCTCTGTCCCAGGTACCACCGGTCGCAAAGACCTTCAGAGCCCACAGTCGCTCGCATCTGGCACACAGCCTATACCTGAGCCATCAGTCGCTCTTGCCTGGGTGATATCGCCGTTTCTGTGCAAACACGTACCTTAAGACTCCCACGTGCACCGCAGCCGATGGGTTTTCGGCTAGCTTACATGGGAAATGTCCAGCGAGGTGATTTGCTAAACCGTTCAGCCTATGGCCATTAGTCAAACTCCAAACGTTTGCTAATTGGCCACTTTTCGTCAACACCTCCCTCGTTGGACTACCTCTCTGCGGCTTCTTGCTGACCGTTCGTAAGACCCAGGAGAGGGAGAATACAAAACTTGGAACGAGACACCGAGACTCGAACTTCACTTACTGTCGATCCTCAGATCTGATCACTTCGTCAGCATTCTTAAAGTCATCTTACACGATCTTATCGATACGCTCCGACATAGCTTCACAGTTCAGTTTGACATACCTCTGAGGTATTAGTTCTCATACACACATAAACATTTGTACATCATCTACGAATTAAACATATCTGCTTTTAACGACTTAGCTTAAGTCTCAGTGTAAATTATTCTCCTTGCAAAGGTAAAAGTTTGTAAGGAAGTACGCACCTTCCGGTGGTGGAATCCGCGTCACATAACGGCATCCTCTACCGCGAAGGCGTACTAAACACTGCTCGAAGTATTTTGAGATACTAGGCGTTCCTCGGACAGAGAGACCGCGTACCTCGCGACTGTATGGCCGACTGTGTTCGCTATTGCCCGTAATCGTTTTTATTATGGCTAAAAATGCTGACTTTGCATAGGTTGGGAAAAGAGTTCGCTAGTGTATTGACCTGTTGGAATGTCGGTGCATTGGCATATATTTTCGACGCAGCATTTCGAGAAGAAGAATTCGTTGACGCTGGTGACTCCAAGGAGGTCGGTCAATGAACCGATCTCATGACTGCCAATGCTTTCGCAATTTGAAATCGGAGATAATAGAATTTTCTTTGTCGGGACGTAACACAAAAAACCGGAAGTTTCTAAACTGAACATAGGATGATTTCAATGACTCTGTTGGTGAAATTCCCCATGTCTACGCAGAACAACGAAGTTGGCAACGAAAATGCTTCGTTGGTGCGTCTTTACCGATAGCGGCAGCACCTCACGGGCCCACCTTGTCTACGCGGTCCCCTCTCCACGCTCGATCGATCGACGCCATGATCGATTCTTCTTCTTCTTAGATGAACGCTCGATGTAAGAACACGTATTCGCAGTCCACGCGCCTATTCATTCAAAGTTTTCGTCTGTTCAGTATACGCTAAGCTGATTCTTCAGCCCACGCAACCTTGTTATTAGTTTAATAGTGTTTCTCGGTAGTTAATGTTACGCGCTGTTAATATAGTTAATTTATGCGTTCACTCGTCCGCTCAACTATTGTTCTGTGATTCTTTTGTAAATACTTTCTTTCCTTGTGTTCATTAAAGTTTAAGTGATCGTTACGCAGGCGTGTTTTATTTCCGTCCTCGCAGACCACGCAAAAACGCAAACAGACTCTTTAATATGTTGTCGGGGACATGATTCTGAACAACTTTTTCATTATGCATAATCAATGGAAAGCTTTAGTTTCCGAGATATTCGTGAAAAACTATTGTTACTACTACATTGAATTCTATGTATGCCTACGTGTCTCTGGCGGTGTATGAGTCAGCATGCAATCGCCGATTCTCTACTGTTTCTATAATAGTTACATTAATAGTTACGGAATAAGAGCTCTGTACCCGTTTAAGTGAGACAGCCTGTACATATACTCTGCGAGGCATGTACCGATCACGATGAAACCTTTCATATCTAATAGGAGATATTTCCGCGATATCTCACTTGAAAAAATTTATGTAATTTGTTATTGTTAATAACTATTGTTATAACTTGTATGGAACTTGTTATCGTTAAAAACTATCGTGATTGCAATTTACCAATAAGAACAGTAAACTACCTTACGGCATCCTACAAATACTGCTCGTTCCACTAAAAAGTGTAAAATAAAATAATTTTTAACAAAAAATATAACCGACTTCGAAATGCACTAAAAAGTATGAAATAATTTCTATTTTCTAATGAAATAATTTTGTTGGTTTTATCAGGGCGTTTGATTAAAAAAACTAAATCTCTTTGTAACGGGGCCGGTCGGTTCGGTGCGCACGGCGTTGCGCACCGCGGCGGTTTCCCCGTGCCAGGGTTCGCATGGGAACAGGTCGGTAAATAACGAGGCTGTGTTGTTATCAAAAATAGAAATATTTATTCAAGGAACTTGACGTACAGCACGGCGTTTACTCCCGCCGGGCTGGCTGGGCGGCGGTGTTCTCCTGCCTCGGTAGCTACAAACAGAATATCGTCTGGTGGTTAGACGCGTGGAGCCAAACCTTAAATCTAGTGTACATGACTTAAGAGCTACGGTCGGAACCCGGTCCGTCACAGAAATTACGCGGCCTTAATTCTAGCGCGGTTCGTAGCCGTTGCTACGCGGTCTTACAAACTAACGGCGCGATGTCGGAGCGCGGAGTGAAAGCGCTGAACGGAGCGCGAACGCAGAAGAACGCAAACGCACGCAAACGCAGAGTCGGGATAGGATTGGCCCGATTGGGCCGACGGTGTTTATTAAATCGCGCTGCGGTGTTTCGCGCTGCGGTGGAGTTGCTGCTCGCTTGCCTCA